GACAAGGCATGGGCCGTGCTCCACCTCGCTCACACCTCTGCTTTTCTGGGAAGAATTAACTCAGGAGCCATTTAGGAATATGGAAAAGGGCCAAGTCCCCTAGCAGATGCTCTGCATGGATTGGACTCTGTTTTGGGGGGGATGGGGTGGGGAGAAGAGTGGTTTGACTGCTCGTTCCCTGTCCTGTCACCTCCATCCCTATCCCCAAGCCCATAACTCCATCCACAGTCACATAAGTTTGCATTTTTTGGGAGGGAGAGAGAACCACCAAACCCTGGATGCCTCCTCCTCTGAGAAGCCTTCCCTGGCCATCCTCTATAAAACGGCAGTCTCCACCTGCCCTCTCAGCTCCTGCACCCTGCTCTGTTTCACCAGAACACTTAGCACCACATAAGATGTGCTTATGTTTGCTTACTTATTTGTTTATTGTCTGTCTCCTTTCATTGGAGCACAGATTTGGTCTGTTTTGTTCAATTCTTAATCCCCAGCATCTAGAACAGTGCCTGGCACATAGTACGGGCTCAACAAATATATGTTGAATGAGTGAACAAATGCATGTGAATTCCCAGAGAAACTCATAAAGTTTTAAAAATAAATATAATCTGCTTCCAAGTGGTTTTTCAAACTTGATATCAGACACACAAGTGAGGAAAGAGGGGAGGCATGGGGCTGGGCAGGGAGGGGTGGGCATCTCAGACCTTATCCCAGGCCCTTGACTGCCTGCACCTCCTTTATTCTCACCATGATCCCAGTTGGTAGGTGATTTCCCCATTTTTACAAATGGGAGACTTGGTTCAGAGAGCTGAAGGCATAATGCAGATCAGGGGCTGGGCTGACACTGCAACTTAGGTCTGCTGGATGCCAGAAAGGGCCCTTGCCCTCTGGGCAGCTCAGACCTCTTGTGCCCTCCTGAGTACCAAGATAGTTGGCCCAAGGAGCCAAGGAAAAGACATCCAGAGGGTTTCTTGGGAGATATGGTACTGCCTAGTGAGGCCTGCAGTCCCATACTTATACACATTCAGGCCTTGGTTCATTCTAGGAGTGCACTTGCCCTGTGCCAGGCTCTGTGCTGGGCATTGGGAGTTAGAGTTGGTGCAGGACAGATCCTGCCTTAAGGTGAGCAGAGACCGATGGTAGCAGCAGGAGCTGACCGTGGTAGTGGCAGGAACTCCAGCTGCCTTTCTGGAGCCCTCCCCTGCCTACTCCCATGCCCCTCTGAGTCACTGCCCCTGAGACTGAGGCAGGCTGTGCCTGGAAGGTCAAAGGCAGAGATGCCTGGTCTGGGCAGACAGAGCTCTGGTGTCTCTCTTTGTGAGCCTTTTCCACCCTCCTGGATCCCCGCCCTTCTCATCCCCGACCCCCATCCTCCTCACAGTCCTCTGCTGTCCTCTAGAAACCCAAAGCTGTGCCCTGTGCCAGTAGCTCTCTGCCCCATGGCCCACCCCCATCACTGGCTGCCCCTACTCCTGTCAGCTCTGCCTCCCAAACAGCTCCTTCCTCCTAGCCATCACCGCGGCTGACTCTGGTGCAAGCTGCCATCACCTCTCACCTGACGACTGCGACAGCCCCCAACTGGCCTCCCTGCCTCCCTTCTCAGCCTTTATCATCTACCCTCCCGCACAGCAGCCATGCTGACTTTTCTGTCAGTCCGCCTTGCTGTGGTCCCCATCACACGTAAAATGAGATCGATTTCTCCCCTGGTCCCCAGGCCCACCGTGCTCAGGCTCCTCTGCTGTCTGACCTCATGTTGTAGGAACCGTCCGCCATCCCCCATGCATGCTTTGTGTCCGGCCTCCCCTCTGATCCTCAGACAGGGCTTTAGGCCTCTGCTCTCGCCATTCCCTCCATCAGGCACTCTCTTCCCCAGAAATCCTCTCACCTCGTTCCCTTTCTTCATTTGGAGAAGCTCTCTTGCCCACCTTATCTAAGTGACACCCTTCCCCCGTCACTCCACCCCCTCCCAGAACTCTCTGAAACTCTCTCAGGGGCAGAGGCAGGGAGAGGGTGTCTGCACTTGCTAGTTTCCTCCTAGGCAACGCAATCCTCACAAAGCCAGCTTTGTTTGGCTCACCCTCGATCCCCAGCACTGACAGTAGAGCCCAGCACACAGCGAGTGCTCAGCAAGAATCTCGTGAGGGCATGAATGAGTGAACCCTTCTGGAGTCTGAGTCTCAGCTCTCGTGCCACCTTCTCTAGGGAGCTCTTCTGGAATGACCTCGTCTGGTCTGGGTTAGGGGGCAGGCTTCCACGGCACCACAGGCTTCCTTCTTTCCCTCTCTGCGGCATAAACATTAGGGTCCTTGGGTCTGTCTCCAGACCACAGAGCTAGCCCTCAGAGACAGGAGTTGCTTCTGTCCTTCTCACAGCCTCCCAAGTGCTGCATAAGCTGTGAAGGTCAGTTTGACAGACCTGAACTGGGCACTGACTCAGGCTCCGCCCACCCCAGGTGCAGCCCCTCCCACTTCCCTGGGCCAAAGCCCCACCCACCTGCGGGAGCAGCTCCGCCCACCTCTCTGGCCCTCAGCTCTCCTCTGCGGCACCAGATCATATGCTTGAACGTTGATCTGTTCACCCACCAAGTCACTTTCTTGCTCAGTCAACAAATTGCTTTATTGGACACTGATTCCCTGCCAGGCCCTGGGCTGGGGGCTTGGGGCGCAGAAATGAATGGGACATAGTTCTGCCTTCAAGAAACTCATAATCTTGTGAGGATGCTGAGTGTGAACCAGTAAACGTGCAGCAAAGTGTGATGAGGGCTGGGATGGAGACATGGGCAGGGTGCCGGGAAGGCCAACAGAGGGGCTTCTAAATCAGAAAGGGGGTGGCGAGTGGGGAGCAGGGCAGGGGATTCCTCTAGAAAAAATCATTCCTGTCTTCTAGCTTCTCTCGCCAACCAGGTTAGAGTTTCAGAGAGAATGATAGCAACTCCTGTCTTCCAGCTTTAAAAAATTAGTTTTATTGTCTAGCCCAGGACTAGCTTGTTATAGATCAAGGGTCAGCAAACTCTGCCAAATGCAGACTGCTGCCTGGTTTTGCAAAAAAAGTTAAGTTTTCCTGGAACACAGCCACATTCGTGTGCTTCATATTGTCTGTGGCTGCTTTTGTGCTAGAAGGGCAGAGCTGAGTAGTTGGGCAGAGACTGCATGGCTTGAAAAGCCTGAAATATGTACTATCTGGTCCTTTACAGAAAGAGTTTGCTGAGCCCTGGTATACATGCTCGAGAAATAGTGTTGGATTAAGTGAACTCTCATCAGATCATTGGAGTCTTACATGGCTAATGTGAGTCCAAGTGTTTTGTCTAGGGACACCAAGATGACCCAAACATTCTAAGCTCTTTCAAAATAAGGACACTGAGGCATAGAGTTGGTAGGAATTGCTACTGAAGAATCCTGTATCTTTCTATTATTTAACAAAAAGCCCTTATGGAGCACCTGCTATAGTTCAGGCCTCTGCTGAATGAGACAAATTATCTGCCCCAAGGCACTTACTGCCTAGCTAAATGAATGAGACAAATTATCTGCCCCAAGGCACTTACTGCCTAGCTGATAAATTATTACATCATCACTGTGCTGGACCAGATGAGACCTGTGCCCAAGGAGTGCAGCTCCTGGTGTGGGGCTCAGCCTGGCTCACCCCTTCTACCTCTATATCCAGCCTCATCTCTGCCATGCTGTGTCTCCCAAGTGGAACTGTTACTCTGGGGGCCCTACCCATCAGGCTGTCCTTTTCTGGGCGCTAGGGACCATGTCTCACTCACCCATCTTGGCCTCCCCCGCACTGAGCACAGGGTCTGGCATACAGAAGGTGCTCAAGCCATGTGTTCCACACTGCCAGGCTCCTGTGGCCTTACATGGTAATAGCAACCAACTGGCTCTTTAGGAATTGCACTTAAGAGCAATGTCTTGAGGGAATTAATTCGTCAAATGAAACGACAAGTATGGTATGATTTTTTTTTCCCTAAAAAAGAAATCTACAAATTGCATCATATTTCCTTCCTCTCTCTTCCCAGCTGCCTGGCTGACTTCACGTTCCATGGGCTTTTCGATGAAACCAGATTCCAGGCTGACCTGAGAGCTGGGTTTGATGTTAGGAGTAATTATTGAAAGAGACAGGGTGATCCATATAATAAAATGCCTCCTACGTGTTTCATCAACATGATGTGAGGGTAATGTTCACCACTCTGCTGTGGGGAGGGAAGGGCGCCTGGGAGCAGAGGCGGGGTGCTCCTGGGCGGAGGGCAAACCTTGTCTGGAAGAGCTGGCCTGAGAGCTTTCCTGTCCCAGGCATTGAGGACTCTCAGCCCCTCTCCGGGAAATCCCTTTCTTGGCAAACGGGTAGCCTTGTTAGTTTTTGCTGATGCTTGAGAAATTTCCTTGGCGCCTCAAAATGCTTTCTCTTGATAATATGTCTCAGGTGGATTTAAGATCGCAGCTGTTACATCAGGATTTAACTTTGACTTGGCTTGCGGGAGAAGAAAAAAAAAATCTTTTTTTTTTGCAGCAGAAGTTCCAATCTGGCACTGCCTGATGGGTTTCTTCAGTCAATTTCTCAAGAAATATTTAACCGAGCTTTTATTATGTGCCTAGCGCTGGGCTGAGAATATAATGGCAAACAAGACAGGGAGATTCCCTGCCCTAGCAGAGTTGGGAGATAGTTACTCAAATAGACAAAGACCCCACAGCATGAAAAAGTGCTGTGCCCCAGGAACCCACGCAGGAGGCACATAGGGCTTCCTGGAGGAGGTGATGTTTCAGCTGAGACCTAGAGGATGAGTAGGACTTTGCCAGATGCAGAAGGGGAGAGAAGGGTGTTGTTGCAGGCAGAGGGACCAGCATGCATGAAGGTTTGCCCTCCAAAAGGGAGGGAATGAGAGAGGCTTGGCCTTTTCCTGTCCTCTGCTGTGTCAGGGGCTTCTAGATTGGCCTGGTCTTTGGCTCCCTGAAGTACAGAAGGGCAGGACCCACAACTGGTGGGGATATTAAAAAATTGTGTGCACTCACGGAGGAAATATTCTGCTGTGTCAGCTTCGTAATCTGCATCCTCTGGGAAGTGATCGATTTGCTTGCACAGACCTTTGAAGTTCCCTGCAAAGCAAAGGGAGGAGCACATGAGACATCACGCTTTCTGGGGGCTTAGGACCCCCCTGCCTCTTCCCGACTTCTGGCTTTTCTGAAGCTCGCTCACCCTCTCCCTCGCCCCTGAGGGAAGGTACCGCTTTGTGTGTTTGGACATCTGCCTGGTGAATCAGAACACACACACCCGCAGCCCTGCGGAGAGGATCTAAAGCCTAAGACTTCAAAATGCTACCTTCACCCCTGCATTGAGGCTTCCGAGGATTAGCTGAAGCTTGGCAGCAGCGGAGCTTTGATTTGGGGCTGGGGACTGCCATCGAGGAGGCTGATAACTGCTCATCATCCCATCTCTGTGCCCCACACTTGGCTGGGAGTCACCCTGCATTTTGTCTGTGAGAAAGAGCAGGTCCCTTTCCAAAGAAGGCAGCCCCCAGACTGACACCGACAGACATTCCCACAGCCCCTGAGACGAGCCTGCAAAACACTTTCCCATCTGCCCTTGCATGAAATTCACCATCCCCAGTCCCCAACAGCTCTGAAATTTTTGGGGGGTGGGGGGATTGACCCCCACTGGGGGCTGGGCCCTCGGCTGGGTTCTTGAACCACAACTCATTTTGGCTCTACCACAGGCCACTGAGAGGGGTAATATAATCTTCATTTTACAGATGAGAAAACTGAGGCTTAGGGGGGTTAATGCTTTGAGTAAGTACTTATGGCTGGGAGACGGAGGGCTCAAAATAATGCCTTTTGACTCAGTATTTTCTCGGTGATTGCTGAGAAGGTGAGAACTGGCTCAGGTGAAGACCCTAGCACAGCACCGCAGCAGTGAGTGAAATGTCGAATACAACTTTTGGAAAAACCGATGGACAGAATGAAATTCACAATCACCAGAGTGTCAGTCTCCTGAGAGCTTCCTTTCTCACACACTGTGTCCCCAGCACCAGCTCAGGCACAACAAATGTCTGTTCCCTTTCTCTGAGCCTGTGCTGGGAAGGAACACACAGTGGTGACTGCCTGGGTCCAGCGCAACCTCATTGAGTTGACTCAATTTCCTTTTCTGAAAGCAGAGATGACAGGAATTCTTCCCTTGCAGATTGTCGTGGAGATGAACTGAGTTGTCATGTATAGAATGCTAGGAACAGGGCCTGGCACAGTAAGTCCTTGTGGGCATTGATGTGACAGAGAAATGAGCTCTGACTATGTTCAGCCACACTGACATATCGGGTTTTTCTGTGACAGTAGCTACTATTACCTGATTAATACGGTCCTCAATACGTGTTAGCAATTTATTTTCTTACAGAGTCCTGAGATTTCATATCTCATAAAGCAGAAGTAGGTTTTATTATGTACTAGAGATAGATATTATTCAGGAATTTGAAGGCATTATTACATAGACCTGTATATATTATATATACCTGTGCATGTAGTACACAGGTATACTTACGTATTATATAGCAGTATAAGCACTTTAGGTATTTCCAGCTATTATTATATGCTACATATTATGGAGAAGAGGGTTGAACCCCTGCCCCCATTCACACATGAGCTGTCTCTGTCAAATTCACCAACTCTCCTGCCTTCTGCAAGAAAAACAACTCCCCAGAGCACACTGGGACTTCTGGAAACTTTCCTGAAGCTTTGGAGGGTTACTCAGAGTGGTGTCCCTGGGCTCTGCCTTTTCTTGCCGCCCCCCGCTGTCTCCCCTCTGTCCTCCTCCTGCCCCTAGTGACTGTGCCCTCTACCCCACCATGCACCCTTCTCTTCCTTCTCCAGGAGAAAAGTCTTCATACCAGCTGCTATGAGCATAAAAAATTCTCCCTATTAAAATCACAAATCCTTGTACTTGAAAAGCACTTTGCAAAGCACTTTCATTTTCTTTCAATTCAATCTGACAAATATTTTGGCAACTCGGTGCCAGGCATCTTTATAAGGACTCCGTGCAGGAGGTGAGGCTGGGAGAGACGTGCCCCGAGGCTCCTAACAAATTGGGGACAGAGCTCAACCCAGAGCCAAGGGCTCATAGGGGGTGCCTCCCGTCTCTGCCTCATGCTGGGGCCACACCCGCACTGCTGCCCACGAAGCCTGGCTGCTCTGTGGACTGTGGGCTCCCAGAGCAGTGCCTGGCACAGGAGAAGGGCTCCAGAGCTGCTGTGGGGAGACTTTACGAAAGGATCAGCAGCCCAGACCCCTGCTCTGAGGCCCAGACTTGGGTCTCCAACTGCCTATTTGATGTCTCTTGGAGGATGCTTTAAAGGCACTGTACTCTCAGCAGGTCTGAACCTGAACTCATGATCTTTCCCTCAAGCCTGGTCCTCTGGAGGCACCACTGGCTTGGTGCAAGCCTGTGCCCAGTGCAAGCCTCAGCCATGTGCAAGCCTGAGCCCAGCTGTCACCACCGACATCTCTTCCTCCTGCCTGCAGCTTCCATCCTTCACCACGTCTCGTGTGTATTAGCTCCTTGCTCTCTCAAATGCACCAATGTCTCTCCATCAACAGCACCACCCACCACCAGGCCACTATCCTGCTGTACTGATGACTGCTGTAGCTTCCCCACTTGCCACCTGCACCCACTGCCATCTCGCCTGTCAGAGTAATCATGGTGATCCTTTGAAAATGAAAATTTGACCATGCTACCTCCAGCTTAAAACATTCCACAGCTTCCCAATGCTCTCAGGGAAAGCTCTACATCTTTAACAGGGCTTGACCCCAAGCTCCTTCTCTGGTCTCACCTCTCACCCACTTCCTCCCTCTCTCTGCATCTTGGCCCACTTTCCTGCCATGTTCCTTCCTACCACAGGACCTTTGCACATGCTAATATTGCTTCCTCAGCCCCCACCACATCCTTAGTTGTCTCCTTCCCCTAAAAGCCCCCTCTGCCCTCCTGTACTGCATCATTAGCTGGCTAGTGCTGGCTGCTCTGTATTGTGGATTGTGATGTCGAGGGAATGTTCCAGTAGAGAGGGAAGAAGTGATGACCTACAGAGAGGAGGGAGAAGTGCAGGAGCAATGTGAGAGGGGATGAGCTCCAGGACTCAGTGCAGAGTGGATAGTGGTGTGCCAGGAAGGCAGGTGGCACCTGTGGGTGCAGGTGTGGGAATGGGAAGACACGGGGGGAGCTCGGGACGCTTCTTTTCTGGCTGCTTCTATTTTCCTGATGAAATGGGAAGCAGGTCCTTCTGCTGAAAGTGAGGAGGAGGAAGGGTTGGAGATTTGAGGAAGGAGGAAGGGAAGTGAAATTTTCTTCATGAGAGTGGGAGGAGGAATGGAGCAGGCTGTGAAGTGTGTGTGACAAGAAGCATATGTGTCGGTGGTCTGAAGGTCCCTCTGGAGATTCTGTGGTTTTCTCTGGCCATATTCTGGGTACAGGTGCAAAATAGTTGGTGAGTTGACTTTAACCAGGAGGGGGGTTTGTGAGGGGAGTGCAGGAAGGGGACGGGCGCAAAAGGCAGATTGTGGACGAGGTACGGTTATTGGTAATGCCAAGGTCAGGGGTGAGACCACCAATGTGGGTGGCTCAGGTTGGGTGGAAGCAGAGACAACATTCAAAGTATTTGGCAACCAGAAAGGTTATACAAATTAATATATAAGGCAAAACTAAAACGTTGCTCTTATTTTCTGTATATGTCAAGTATATATTAAGAACTGTCTACCAAGTTAAAAACTGAAATGCAAGTGATTCATCAAATTACTCTAATAAGTCTCAAATCACTGGTTTGTTTTAAGAAATTATTGGTGTGATCTTTGGATGATGAGACTGTTACGGGATAAATGACGGCCCTGTCTGGACATGATTTGACACAGGGAGCCACACCAGATGCTTCCAAAACTTCCCTGTGACAGTAAGAGTCATTCTGTCTCAGTGGGTACAAAATGTTCTCCTAGCTTGTCCACTGCTGTTCAATAGGAGGACGGCTCCATGAAACTGGCCCTTGTGCAGGGCAGCTCCAGGGGACCGGGGCTGGGAATGGGCGTGGAGGTGCAGGGAGTGGTAGGGGGAGTGGGGTGGGGAGGAGGGCAGAGCCTCGGAGGGAGCACTCTCATCCGGCCACTCAGGGCCAGCAGGAAGGTTCTGCTTCTCCTGTTGGCTCCTGTGCCCTTACCCACCCCCTGTAGGGCCAGATGTGCCCAGGCTGGGCCTCAGAGCTGGTAGAGCTGCAGGGCCTTAGAGCTCAATCCTCCACCCACCCTTGGGGAGTAGGGAGAGGAGATGGGGCCGCCTCAGTTCCAGCCCTTCTCTGCCCATCACAACCCATGAGCACCCAGCCCTCTTCCCTACACTCAGGGGGTACTGACTGGTACAACACTATTTCTGTATTTAACAACCAGTGAGGTAGGATTGGTGCAGGCTGGCTGGGGAGTGAGGGGTCAAGGCCAGGAACTGGAAGGAATGTCTGCCTGACCGTGGCTTCTCCGAGGATGACTGCAGGAGCAGCACCAGACAGGGTGCAGCCAGCCTGTGCCACACTCAGAGAATGAGGCAATGCCTGGGAGTCAGTGAGTGACTGCAGCCAGGAGGGAGGCAGGGAAACAGTGGTGAGCAGCAGGGGGCAGGGAGGCCCAGGGTGTGGGCATTCAAACATCCCATGTGAGAGGTGGCAGGGGTGCTGAGTCCTCATTGGAGAGCCAGATTCCATCAGAGCAGGGAGAAGAGGCTGCAAATATAGGGATCCTGCTGACACCAGGACATACATTCCAGAGGGCCCAGGGCAAGGATTTGGGAGGCGGGGGAAGTTGGAGATTGGGTCAGACTAGGGATGAACAGAGCCCTTGGGAAGCAATGGGTCATGAGACGTGATGGGGAAACTGGGATGCAGGTCGTGGTGAGAATGGTCCAAACGGCCTCTGAGACCAGTGGTGGCCATGAGCCTGTGAGGTCGGCTGGAACGTGTGGGGTCTCCAGGAGCACTTGGAGCTCTCTGGGCCCTGGATTCATCTGACTGTGGTGGTAGTGGCCTCAGAAGAGGGGTGGTAGCAGCAGCACTCAATCACTACTGGTGAAATTTAAGTTTTGT